CTTGCATGTCGGGCAAGGGAACTTCCCGTGAACACACCACCCATTGAATAAGCCATACGCCAGAAGTCATGCATTGAATCTGGTACCACACATGCATTCTGAAGTTCCTCTTCAGTAGCTTGGATTCATGCGTGAGTACCCCTCTTCCCAAGCAAGTTCCAATTCATCCCACACCGCCGTTGCATGAACACACCCATATTGTCGCCGGGTGTCCGAGGTATTATCGTCAAAAGAGCACGTTCTTAGGTTCAAACATGACACCGGGGAGATTGAGGGGATCACAAACACGGGCCGGCAAGTGTATGCGGGGCCGCCATCATTCCAAACGGGTTGAACCCATCTGTTGCCTTGGCGCCACGGCGTACATTCCGAGCCTCCATAGCCTTGACAGATTCATGTTATCGAAGTGCTTCCATGCATCACCGTCCGCCGGGTGTACCATCTTGTCGGGATGGTATCTTTTGCCATTCTTGTGCCACGTCATTCTGTTTTCGCGGACTCCTCCGTCATATCTGACCGTTGCAGCCTCGGTAGGAAAGGAAGGTGCCGTCACGACCTTCTCGGGGACCTTAGGCTGTTTCATCTTGCCATCGAGCCTTCTACCAACACGAACCTAGAGGCATCGCACCGGACAGGTTTTGCTTCCTCGAGGTCTCCCACAGGCAGGACGCTTCCGGACAAGCATGGATCCCCTCATACGGCATCTTAAGTGCACGAAGGAGCTTCGTGTAGCGTAGGTGTTCGTCGGCGAGGACATGATCTGCCGAAGCGGTCCCCCAACAATGCTCAACACGAGATCGAAGCCGTCTCGACTAATGCCCATTTGCGACTTCAACCCTATCAGCGTGAGGCGGCATCCGATTCATGTAAGCTTTGTCTTCTCGTGAAGGGGCTTCGTGTGCGACTCCATCATGTCGTAGAAGGCCTTCGCGGTTTCCTCCGGATCTTCCTCCACATCCATTCCTTCGCCAAACCGTGCTTCGTGGAAGTCTCGCCATCATATACGCCATCCCGGCATCACCATCATACTCCTCGAGGGACGGTCGCACCACCTCGTCCCTAATAGGATGGTATTCACCATGGTGGCGCCACGGGTATAGTTTGGAACGAACCCGTGCTTGAACAGATCTCTCAACACTGAGCCTTTACTTTCTTCTTCTTGTTCACACTTTTCTTTTGCAAGGACACGGCATCCGAATCGACCCTTTAGCGGTGGGCCAAATGCATGCTCCAGAACTCGGTCGTCCCCCGATCCATTCGTGGCTCTTACTTTGCGAAGCCCGAGTACATCCACTCACGGTCACCCATGCTCACATCATGCGGCAATGTTAACATGTGATAAAACCAGCAAGTGCATCTACAACGCGCTCCTACCATCTAATAGGTGAAGGATAGGTCCTAATCCCACCCGAGCATCTTGCAGACGAGGTTAGCTTCCATGCTCGCTCCCGTCCTAGATGGAATTTCGGCGGCACCTCCCATTGTTCTCCCGATACACGCCCCGTGGGAGAGAGTGTATCCGAAGAATAACGGGGAGAGTCTGCCGAAACTCCGACTTCGGACGGGAGCGGAACATGGGAGCTAACCTCGTCTGCTGCATCTCGGGCTGTCCAAATAACGTGGACAATCCGAAGCGGATACGGTTATACATATGCGAAGAACATACTTCCAACCGTATCCGTTTGACGGAGACGCCTAAGCGGGTAACGCGACCTATGACTACATGTGGCGGAAAGAGGGTCATACCGCAGTCTTGCGGTGAAGAAAGGCTAGCGAGGCGGTGCTGCGAAGTCGTGCTCCTCCGGCTAGCCTCCAATGGGAGCCCTCACGAAAAAGAAAAAACAATTAGTGAGAACGAAAAATTTGGCAGACACCTCCCACATGCGGAAGGTTACCAAACCTGCAAGAAAAAGGCAGCACGATGGCCGACAAACACATATACATGTTAGGCACGATGGCCGACAACCACAAATGTATTTCCAATCCATGCGAAGAATATAAGCGGTATTAACAAAGTAAACTACTACTACTAGTAGTACTACTACCTCGTTGTCACGGACGGCGCCAGCGTCACCGGCGCGTGGAGCGAGAAGCGCGCGAGAGGCGGCGAGGCGAGGCGAGGAGGCGCGGCGAGGCGAGGACAGTGAGGCGGTGGCGCGTGGCGAGGCAGCGACGAGGCCAGTGGACGGCGAACAGCGAACGGCGGACGCGGACGGCGTGGACGGCCGGATTTGACGAGGGGCACGCCGGATCGGGGGGGAGGAGGCAGCAAGGCGCGGGCAGGGTGGGCGAGGCAGGCGGGCTGCGGACTGACCGAGACGCTGGCTGCCTGGCCGGGGCGGATCGGAGGGCGGGCGGCACCGGTGAGAACCTGGCGGCCGCGGCCGGGAGGCCAGCCCTTGCTGGGTGCCCACGAGAGGGGAGAGCTGGGGGGCGCCGCCGAGATGGTGGCCACGGGGAGGGGGCCATGTGGCCGGGAGGAGCGTGTGTGTGGCCGGAGAAGTGTGTGGCCGGGGAGGGCCTGCCTGGCCGGGAGGACCATGTGGGGGCGCCGGGAGAGGCCACGCCCTTGGGAGGGCGCCCGCCGGGGAGGGCAAGGCGCCGCCGGGGAGAAGAGGCACCTTGGGGAGGGCGCGACGAGGGAGGAGGACCAATGGGGCCAGGGAGGCCACATGAGGAGGGCGCCACTTGCGCTTGAGGGGGCGGGGCGGGCCGGGGGGAGGGCGCATGCCACGGGGAGGGGGTGGGGGAGGCCCGGGAGGGAGACTGTGTGTGGGGGAGGACCAGCATGGTGCCCGGAGGGCCACGCCATGGGGGGCGCCAGGCCGCCTAGGAGGGGGGCGTGTGGCTGGGGGGGGGCAATGTGGCCGGGGGGCGCGATGCGCCGGGGAGGACACATGGGGCCATGGGGAGGGCGGCCCTGGTGGGGCGGGAGGGGCTTGGGAGGGCATGTGTGTGGGGAGCAGTGTGTGGGGAGGAGGAGGAGGGATTTTGAGGGGGAGGCCATGGGATTTTGGGGAGGGGGGGCGGTAGAAAGCGGATAAGGCGACGTTTTTCTTTTTTTTTTTTTTTTGCCATTGCCGACATGTGTGACGGCAAAAGGTCTATTTTTTTTCAAAAAAAAATTTTTTATTTTTTTAAAAATACTTTGCCGACCGCTTCTGCTCCTGGCGATCGGCAAAAGGTTATTTTTGATTTTTTCGAAATTCTTTGCCGATTGCCATCCTCCTGGCGATCGGCAAAAGCTCTTTGCCAGCCCTTGCTTGATGGCGTTCGGCAAAAAAATTAATTGTTTTTTCGATTTTTTATCCCAGTTTTTTGTGTTGCCTTGCTCTGATAAGTACATGATATATTCCAAGTTTGGGGTCATTTTGATTTATTTTGCTATATTCCATTGATTTTTTACTGTTTCTTTGATTTTTTCCGTGACTCAGATTTGAGCTGCGGTACATGAAATAATGGAATCCGGCGATTGAGAAAATGATATTCATGATGTTTGGAGCATGTTGAGGCCGTGTCTTGGGCCTCGCGTGAAATTCGGCCGTGTTGGTGTCGGAACCTTGCAGAAACCATAGCGTGAAAAAATGTTTTTAAATTTTATAAAATCGAAGCGAGTCCGAAAAATGACGAAACTTAGCGACGTGTCTTGTCATCGCATGCGGAGGCTGTGGTAAAATTTGAGAAAGTTTTGAGCAAGTGGCGACGTCGGGTGGCTAAAACACGGACATCTCCACATGTGATCCGCACTTTCGAAACTTGGCGACATCTCGACATGTCCGGTTTTAGCCACCCGACGCCGCCACTTGCTCGAAACTTTCTCAAATTTTTACCACAGCCTCCGCATGCGATGACAAGACACGTCGTCAAGTTTCGTCATTTTCGGACTCGTTTCGATTTTATAAAATTTAAAAACACTTTTCACACGCGTGTTTCGGCGTGTTCCGACACCAACATCGCCGAATTTCACGCGAGGCCCCGCACACGGCCTCAACATGCTCCAAACATCATGAATATCATTTTCTCAATGGCCGATTCCATTATTTCATGTACCGCAGCTCAAACTGAGAGCCGAAAAATCAAAGAACGTAAAAAATCTACTAATATAGCAAAATAAATCAAAATGATCCCAAACTTGGAATATATCATGTACTTCATCGATCAAGGCAACACAAAAACGGGATCAAAAAAAAAAAATAAAATTTTTGCCGAACGCTGTGGAGGATGGCAAGCTATAAAGCTCGCGCTTTTGCCGATGGCGACGGAGTGGCGATTCGGCAAAAGGTGACGTGTGGATGGCGTCAACCATGGCCTCGCCTTTTGCCGATCGCAATTCTTTGCCAACTGCTGGCGATCGGCAAATCCATGGCTTTGCCAAGCGCCTCGCATGATCGGCAAAAGTCAGCGATCGACAAATCTGCTTTGCCGATCGCAGGAAATTCCGATTATAAAGGGACCTCTTTGCCGAAAGTGTCGAAAAAAACAGTTGGCAAAGAAAATTGCAGTCGGCAAAGAGCCAGTTTCCTGTAGTGAGCAAGTTGGGGTGGGTTAGAGTTAAAACAACAAAAAGAATAAGTAGTATCAAAATAGGTGGCTACCGAAATCCGAAATACAAAAGTAGGGACCCTGTTTTAGGTAGCAGTGCAAGAGATGCTCTTATGAAGTCGAAAACGTCAAGATCTAGGCCGTTTCCATGTGTTTGACTAAAAGCTGGATACGAGAAAATAGCCGGGTAGAAATCACGTTTCCATGCATTTTTTGTGTTTTGTTTATAACTTTGATCTCTCTCCTCCTACTATATACTGATAAATTTGTCGACTAAAACTCTTGCCGTCACTTTCAGGGGAGGTGCAGCTGCAGAGTCAATGCCACGATGGCTATGCTGAATTGCTGATGATATTCCTCTTATTAGGCATCATGTCAGCGAATGGATCATCTCCTAAGCATTCTGTAATTGAATCAACTAGCAGACTGCAGCCTGCAGACGACCAACGACCACGACCATGCGGCGCCACCAAGCCATCAACGGTGGTATTGGTGCCGCCGTTACACTTGCGATGGCGACGACGATATCCATCCAACTGGCGGCGCTCGCCGCCGCCGGCGCCCTCCGGCCGACGACCACGGCCGTGCCGGCGGTGTACGTGTTCGGGGACTCGCTCCTGGACGTGGGCAACAACAACTACCTGCCGGGGGCGGACGTCCCCCGGGCCAACATGCCCTACTACGGCGTCGACTTCCCCGGCGGCGCCAGACCCACCGGAAGGTTCAGCAACGGCTACAACGTCGCCGACTTGGTTGGTATGTACTCTCTCTCCTCTCGATCGACGGCGCGCTGGAGTTGTTTATTTGTTTCTGGCTGTGTGCACTTCGTGGTATGCGCGACGACTGCCTAGCACGGGGGAGCTCGAGCTGACGCCAGACGGACATGAATGGGTGCAGCGAAGGCTATGGGGTTCAAGAGGAGCCCGCCGGCGTACCTGTTGCTCTCGCGGCGCTCCGGCCGACGACATCGTCTCGTCGCCAGGGGCATCGGCGGAGTGAACTATGCTTCTGGAGGAGCTGGGATTCTCGACTCCACTGTAAGTTATCATTCAGCTTTATTTCAGCATATATAATGTGTCGTTGCAGAGGAAAAAATGTGTTAATTTCTACCGTAACTGTGCAGCCGATCGAGTAGTAGCTGCTAGCAGCCACAAAGTTCAGATCACACAAATCTGTAAAAAAAAGCGAAATTAATTACATGAGTTATCTTTCGGCATGATAAGTGTGATTTCGCGCACGCATATCGTTGCATGCGCGAGCGAGGTCAGACTTCAGAGATCATCATATCTTTCGGGTCAAACTTATTAACCAGCTCATGCTTCATGCATGTCCAAGGAACCGACGGAGACAGACAGACAGAGATATATCTCAACGCTGACTTTGAGCACATGTGACTTTGACATCATGCGCTAGCCGTACAATTTGCTCGGACCATCATGCATGTTAGTTAATTTGTACTGTATTTGCATATATAGTTCGCCGGGAAGAACATCCCGTTGTCAAAGCAAGTGCGCAACTTCGATGCGACCAAGGTTCAGATGGTACTAAAACTGGGTGCCACCACGGCGAAGCACCTGCTCTCCAAATCGCTCTTCCTCATCGCCATCGGCACCAACGACATGGCCGTGTTCGCCACATCATTAGCAAACAATGGCCAGATGCAGAGCCACGCCGTCGTCGCCGCCTTCTACTCCGACCTCATCTCCAACTACTCAGCCACCATCACAGTAAAACTGAAATTCCTGATTTTTTTAATTTTCAGCTAAACATATATATGACATTTATTAAAACAAGATGACTGATAACAAATTTATTTCGTTAAAAAGACAGTAACAATTTATAATTTCACGCAGGGGTTGTACGGGATGGGTGCGAGGAAGTTTGCGGTGATCAACGTGGGCCGGATCGGGTGCGCGCCAATAGAGCGCCTGCAGAGCCCGACGGGCGCTTGCGACGACGGCGCCGACGCGCTCGCCGCCGGCTTCGACGACGCGCTCAGGTCTCTCCTGGCGAGCCTCGGCTCCGGCGATGACCACCGCCTGGACGGCCTGACCTACTCCCTCGGCGACCTGTACGGCCTGATGCGGGCGATCATAGCCGACCCGCCGGCGGCAGGGTTTGCCGACGTGGACAGCGCGTGCTGCGGCGGCGGGCGGCTCGGGGCGCAGAGCGTCTGCGGCCAGCCGAACTCGACGCTGTGCGGCGACCGCCGGTACCACCTCTTCTGGGACTACGGCCATCCCACGCAGCGCGGCGCGGAGGTCATCGCATCGGCGTTCTACGACGGCCCGAGCAGTTCACCACGCCGGTCAACTTCGAGCAGCTGGTCCGGGCATGAGCGTCGGCAGCAGCAAACACACGAGTGTGATGCTGATTAGCAATTTACTACAAGTACTTTGTTCATCGTCACTTTGTCAAGATGTTGTAGATTATTTGTTGTCAATATACGAAGATGAGTAATAAAGTTATACAATGTACACGCACAATAGAGGCACCGCCTGTGCATGCGTCTCCCTCTCCCTCTCCCTTTCCCTCTCCTTCAATTCTGACACGTGGGTCTGCTCGTCCCGTACCCTCCTCCCAAACAGCAAGACTGCCCAAGTCTCCGCTTAACTCAACAAATCAGTATGCACATATCCCAGATTAATCACAAATCAAATACGAATCAAGCCATCAGTGGGGACCTGCCCCTCCACATGCAGCATGTTCGGTTGGCTGGTTCATATCGCTGTTAGTTCGTAAAGAAGTACTGCTAGCTGGTTTGTGTGAGAGAAAAATATTGTTCCGACTGAAAATTTACGATCGTTTACGACAAGCCACAGCCAAACGAACAGGCTGATCAATCAGATTCTACGACGCCAATGTAAGATCTGTTGCCGAGCCTATTCCGCCACGCCCCACATGAACTAGACAGGCGCCTTCCACACCAGCCACAGTTGCACACGAGACATGATACGACCACGTGGTGAGGTGAACAAGCAGCGGGCGACTCAAACAACAACAAATCAAAACCTAGCTAGGTAGACTGGTAGGGGTGTGGGCGTGTGGTCACACCCACCATGACGTCAGGCAGGCGTCCAGAGGTGGTGAGCTCTCGCACGGATAGGATAGGGCGATGAAGGGTGTTGGTGCGGAGCCAACCCTATGGTGGCAGAGCCGGGCCGGTGGCGGTAGGATCTAGCTGCTAGCCTAGGAGGTGGCGGAGAAGCAGGGCCCGGCTAGGCGGGTAGAAGGGGCAGCCCTACCTAGGGTTTTTTATACAGGTAGGAAAAATAATCGGCACCTGCCAATAAACATTGTTGGTACGGAGCACCTTTTCCCGGTTCCTTTGTCACCGTCTATCTGTTAGACGAAAAACTTATTAAAATAAACAACACAATCACAACAAAAGCGACCATGCTAACAATGCTTCACTACTACATAAACCTTTTGTAGGAGCGGCTCCGGTGATTTGTAGGGGCGTTTTGGCCAGCCGCCCTTACCATACCATCTCTATAAATCATGTATTTGTAGGGGCGGCTGGTAACACCAGCGGCCTCTACAAAATAAATTTGTAGGGGCGGCTGTAGTACCAGCCGCCCCTATAATACCTGTTTGTAGGGGCGGTTCAGTCTAGAACTGCCCCTACAGTATATTTTTCCGTAAAAAAAAATTTAATTTACAATTCAAATACGACCAGAACACACACATATATATGCATATATAATTTAAATTTGACCAGAACATATATAATTCAAATATGACCGCAAGCACAAGACCACAAGGTGTTGATCCTAAGGATTTCTACCTAAGTGAACGTGTCGGTGCAGAAAGTGACCAATATGTAAATGTTTGTAGTTTTACCGTACGTTGTGATCGGAAGTGGCCTAGCACTCAATGACACAGGGTTTATCTTTGGTTAGAACAACGTGTCCCTACGTCCGCTTTGAGTCGGTCGGTGACTTTATTCCCGAGCCCAGTGCTCGAAGTTTGAAGTGGGGTTATAAACGAGGAGAAAGATGGGAGGGTACAAGAGGTCGGTGGGACTCGATCGGAGGGGGCGAGAGTGACGGGAGCTCCGCTTATACGCTATGTGTTCGGCGTGTGCTTGTGGTTTGAACTGGCGGTTCTATTGTTGTGAACTAGTGAACTGATCGATCTGAATAAACTTATCTGTTGGAAGAGAGCGCAACCCCTTTTATAGATGAAGGGGATGGCCTTACAAGTGAGAGGGAGGGAGTACGTTCGCTGCTAAGTCTTCCCCACGCCGGGTGGGTACAAGATGATGGTAGGCACCCACAACATGTTGAATGTCGATGCGTGGGGAGATTGTGTCATCTTCTTCGTGTATGGCGAGATGTCAAGACTGCTATATTATTGATGCCGAGAGACATGCAGGGGGTTTTATCATGTTCGCCTGGCACGAAAATGCCGGCGCCCACAACACTATCGATGCCTCAGAGGCACGTGGGGGCAGCCTTATCGTATTTGTCTGGTATGGGAGTTGATGGCGCCCACAACACTATAGGGAAAATGTTGGCTCCTACAACACTGCTTGCATTATGTCATGCCAGGGAGGTCGCAGGGTACTATCCTGCAGGTGTACATGGTACGGTCCTTGGTATTGCGGTTGACTTGAGTATGATGCCTTACTTTCTCCGTCTGTTTCCTGGTCCATACCGAGCGGGCGTCCCCGGTCGATTGGTCCCAGTTGACTCTGATTGCACCAGTCGGAGAGGAGCCGTAGGCAGGGGTCCAGCGCATTCCCGGTCGGAGAAGCGGGCTGGAGTCGGAAATGGCGTTTCGGCCAGGCCTTCTGGTCGGAGAGACCGTCCGGAGGCGGGCTAGAGACCGAAGAGAGTGCTCCGATCGGAGAGGTCGGCCGGAGTCGGAAGCGGGCGCCGTTCGTCCTGGCCAGCCTTGGTCGAGATTGGATGATCCTTCCGCCTGTCGTCCAGGTATTTGGGCCGCCCATGAGTTGTGCATTGCTCCATAACGTTGTCTGCTGGGCCGAGCTTTTGTTGGAAAGCTGGTCCATGAGGGACCCCGGTTTATGAACCCGAGAGAACGTTACAAGTATGTATACAAACATATAAGCTAATAAGAATTTTCGATATGTATATGTCTTAAGAATCGATATGAAGTAACTGGGCTCATGCACACTGGACAGCTCATGCACACCTGCAAAAATATAATTAACTGATTAACTTTACTTGTTAGTAAGCACACCTCCAAAGTAACTGGGCTCATAACTTTTCTCGTTTGCGGGACAGTTACGACATTGTTGCCGAAAACACAAAATGTCCATGAGCTGTAGAAGCAAAAGGCATCAAAGCCCCTACATCATTTTAACTAATCCATCTTGGCACCTAAGTTTACACTACTCCCTAACCAATATGTAAAACAATAGGAAAGATAATAAACAAAGGGTAAAATGGAACAATATGAATCCTTGACAAAAAAAATATCATTACTTTCCAAGCACTAAAGAGAAAGCCTTTTTTGCCTTACTCCAGAAAGAGAACGAAAAGGAAATCTGAAGAAAAAGAAAAAAAGATAGCAACTTATGGAGCAAAAGTTTTGATCCTGAATTCACCCTAGTTATGGAACTGTAAAATTTAGCTCTGGATCATGTACCCCTAAATTCCTTGATCTACATCATTTTTGGATAGGAAGCAGAAATAGTGATCAGAATTATGAGGTATGCAAGCAAATAAAAGACCTCCAATTTTACAACCAAAGACACATATACTGAAGTAAATAAAAAAAAATAAAGAAAATTAACCTTTCGACAGCCAGTTACTAGGCGACATCTGCTATCAGCTGAAGAAAGCCTCAAGCCGTGTGCAACCTCCAATTTAGCAACCTTCATGCATAAGACACATGCACGAGAGAAGTTAGTCACCAAAACAAGAGCTCTTCCATAACTTCACAAAATCTACCTGCACAAGCCTGGAGTAGTAGAGAAGAATGATAGATAAACTATTACACCTGTAAGTGACGTGAAAATCAACAAACTCATTTGTAACATAAGCAAGAATAAAACTAAGAAATGAAACTAAAGCATGTAATTGTTAATACAAGAAGTACAATCTTCAGTGTAGTCCTAAGAGAAGGCAAGACCATAAACAATTTATTTTAGCTCTGAAAGTTGATGGAAAGGGAATTATTTGCTTGAAGGGGCTTTCCAAAAGCTGACTATAACGATAATAGCTGAGAACCCACCTTTGAGACAATGGTTCCATTATCCGCCTAAACTTGTCGAAACTTGGGGTGTTGACAAATGCACAAACAAGAAGGGTGTAGTCCGATGTCCAATCGGCTCGATACTCAGCACCCATGTTCAATGCTTGTCAACGAAACGTGCTCCTCTCGGGGTTAACGAACCCTGACAGCACAAACACTACCCCGTCGTACACAAATGTATGAAATCACCAATACAGAACAGTATACATGCATATATCTGATTGCAGCTGTGGCGAATAGATAGGTACCAAAAGTTTTGAGAAATCAGGCCCTTTCTGAGCCTTCTGGGAGGTGTCTGCATGTTTCTTCTTGGTTGAATCGTCCTCTCCATCTTTAGAAGAACCCATCCAAGACGGGAGGCTTCTCTTGGAACCGGACATTTTTTTTAGCAACCTAACTACACCACTCTGTAGATTGGACGATATTATTGTGCGCGCTGAACAACACCCATGTACACCCGATAATTTTTGCAAGAAATAAAAAAAAATCAAAGTTGGTAAGCATAATACATTTATACACTTAAAACTTGCAATTAGATCAGATCCAATTACAGATAGCCAAATAGCTTAGTCAGGGCTTAGGTGCTCGGTTTCGCGCAGCAGGAAGGGAAATGAAGCAGATAGCCAACTTAGTCAGGGTTTGGGTGCTCGGTTTCGCACAACAGGAAGGGAAACGAAGGGGCCGGCATACCTAGGTGCTTATTGCCGGTGAAGGGCATGACGAAGAACTAGGCATCGTGGCGGCGGCGTGGCGTACGCTCCGATGGGCGGCCAAACCCAAGGACGGCGTGGCCGCGCCGGGGGCCATCCGCCCAGGTCGACGTGCCAACTCAGGGGCCGGAGAGAAGGCCGCGACGTTCGGAGGAGGCGACCTCGCCGGGGGGCGACGACAGTGGTCGGCGCTCCCGAGCGCAGCGGCCGGGGGCGCCATCGCGCCACCAGCGCCTCGCACGGGGAGCCAGTGGTGGGGGGCCGGCCGGGACGATGTGAGGGGGGAGGAGGAAGAGGAGGGGGTGGCCACAGCTGCTGCGCCGTGCGCGCCAACGGCCATCGCCCTATCGGCGTCGGGAGAGCGAGGGAGGGAGAAAGCGAAGAAGAGAACGGAGGGGTGAGAAGAAGCCTCTAGAACGACAAGCTGAAGCCGAGTATTTATT